AAAATGCATCATACGATCCTAAAAAAAAATTGATGAAAGAAAAAAAATCTGTAATTTGCCAGGAATAAACGCTGAACTCTTTTTGTCTAAGGCACAGCCTAACTGCTTCTCTCCTTTTCTCCTCCTTCCTCGCTTCCCGCTTTTCCAGGTATTCTTTCGTTCAAAAAAAAAAAATCAAAATTTAATAACTGGTGGTTGAAATATTGTATCAGGGGCTGAAATTTCCTGTCTCTTTTCCTATGAATCGCTCTGATCCGCGGTCTCGCTACCAATAAACATGCCAGACAGAAAGCTGAAACTTTGCAGGAATATTCTTTGTGCGTGTATGAGCTAAAGATTTTAAATTCAGGTATGGCGAACGCTTATACCGTGAGTACGGTCATGTCAAATTTCGCAGTTGGCATTGTGCTAATTCGGTCATGTCAATTGTGCTAATTCAAAAATTAGTAAGGGTTGTACTGATGAATCCCACTTCTACTCGCGCTCACTAGTTTGCCTCTTTTTACAGCTAACGGTTGAAACACGAATTGCTTGCTCACATGCTCCACCGGTACATGTCGAACTTATCATTTCACAGTTAAACTGAAAAATAAAAATTCAGCTGAAAAAACAAACAAAAAAAAAACCAATGAAATTCTACCGCGAGTTTTTTCACATCAAAATTATGAAGCGTTGCCGAGCAAACAATCATTTGTAGACGTTCACCGGAAGCAGTTATTTTTGGTAATGCCGCATGAATACGTTCAATTGTCGGCAGATGGGTTTTTGCTGATATCAGTGAATCCTGTAAAACAACTAATTCTCTGTAAGTCCTTTTTTTCGAATCAAATTTTATGTTCTGTGCGAAAAATACACACCCTGCGACATAAAACTTCATTTATTAGTTATTTTTTGCTTTTTTTCACGCCTAACTATTTCAACTGGACTTTATTTTCAACGCAAAAGTCATCGGGAATCAAATAATAACGCCTATTCGAAAACCTAAAAAAAACCCCAATAAATTTATTCATAAAACTTCTCAAAAATCTTATGAACAGGATGCTTGATTCCATGAAAAATCCACGTGTGCTATGACTTTCACTACTCCCCTAAGTTTTCTTGCTATTTCATAAAAAAATTTATTACATATCCTCTATAATTAGTCAATAAAATCCACAGGACGATGGATTTGCCCGTTATTTTGACATAGCTGCCGATTTAGAGGTAACGAAAAAACCCCTTCTCTACCTCGAAGCAATTTTGAGCAGATAGAACCTGCTAAAAGTAATACAATAGGTAAAAATACCAAAAAGAAAACAACAAAAAACGTGGATGAAAAAAGCACTTACAGCTTCATCGAGAATGAAGAACCGGACATTTGAGAGGGAAATTTTACCGCTCTGAATAAGATCCTCCACTCGTCCAGGTGTACAGGTAATTATGTCGACACCGGATGAGATCAGGCGCATTTGTTCGCCCATTGGTATGCTACCAATTACCAGTGCATTCCTGAAGACAAGCAATCGCTGTCATAAAAAAATTATCCTTCAAATTTCAATGGTAGCATTTTTTTTACAGCCCAAAATCTTGGAAAACAAACCAGAAAGCTGTAAAATACAGAAACCTATTTTTGAGACCGGAAATTTTTCCTGCGTCCGAATTAAGCCAAAAAAAAAAAGAAAACTCGCGATGTTTTAAGCTAGCCAAAACCATAAAAATCTAGTTGTTTCCATAAAAAAAATTTTAAGAAACATTTGCATATTCATACAATTTGCTGCTCCTATGCTAATCAGTAACAATCATCAATCAAAAATTGAATTATATCTAAAATCAATTATATAATAGTTTGCAAATGCGTCAGATTCTGAGGGAAAAAGTACCTTCTTCACCATGGCTTCCAGTAATCGGCGAATCAATGGTTTGCTCAGAAAAACTAGCCTAATCGATGGTTCCCTCGAAACCAGAAAGGTGCTAAAAAAGTGCTAAAAACTCACCTAATCGATGGTTTACTAAGGTATTTCTTGAATGTTTCCAACTGGCCATTGGTTTGTTCGGCCAGTTCTTTGGTTGGTTCGATTATGATACAGGCCGGAGCATTCGGTTCGGCAACTTTTTTCGGTGCACTCGATGATACACCATTTGGTGATACAAGCACGTTCTCAGATTCTGCTTTACTGACTGCGATATAGCCCTAAAAATCAGGCGTGAAATGAAAATCTAACGAATTTTAATTAAAATCTAGCGAGTTTTTAAATTTGATGCACAAAATTCGAACAAAAAAAGTCCACTTAAATTTTGTAATATGCATAAAACGCATGATAAAATGTTCGAAAATGTATTTTGTTATGCAGATTTTTTTTAAAAAAAAAGAAGAAAACAACTAACTTCCGGCAGATTTTTGAATTCGGAATCGCCAAAATTGAAACGAATCTCTGCATTCTGCAATAAAACCTTTAAACTGTCATCTCTCAGTGCACTACTTTTTTTATACAATTTAATGTAACTAATTTAAATTTAATTTACACCAATTACAATTAAGAAATCGTCGTATGACAAAGTCCAACTGTGGTAATGGTAAGAAATGTATACGACTTAATGAACCGAAACATTTTTTATAATTATAATAATTTTATCAAAATAATTTTACTACTTTTACTAACATTTTAATATTATTTGCTCTTTTTTTCTTCTTCCTACTTCAAAATACCCTTCTGCTTTCTCTGAAAATTTTAAAAACTCGTGCGATCTGCTCCACATGCAGTAAATAAACAAAACCAAACTATACCAAGACCGGCCTGAAAATCGGTGCAAAAACGAGTAAAACTCGTCCACAAGCCGGCTGTGGCCATAGCACAGGCAACGTTCCTCAGCTGCTTATCTCCACAGAAACGAGTAAAACTTAATAAAATTACTACCCGTCTCATATGTTA